CAATGGCCAATTGGTCATGAACCACACACTGTTCCAGTCAACAACAGACAAATACATGATAAAGGTCTCCCTCAGATTAAATCACATGGTGATGCTGTAGTCATCCTAGGATGTTCACACGACCATGACCTTGTCTAAAAACATTTCTCAGAACACATCCTTGTCATTAAGTGACACATGACTGTACACTTGTTGGGTCAGAAGGTTTGAAACAATCTGTTATTCCCTCTGTTATCTGCTGTTCTACAAGATTTTCATTTTCTAGAAAGGAAAGAGAAATATGCAGTAGTGAGGCAAAGTAGGAAGCCTGCCACCTGGAGCACTCCCCTTGTACCCGCAGCTCCTACACAAGAGAGGCAAGGGGCAAAGTGTACAGAGCGGTGGCAGCAGCGGTGACACGACTGCACAGCCGACAGGTGCTGAGCGTGTCCTTTCATGCTGTCCTGCACACACCTGCACACAGCTCAGCCTGCCAAGAGCTTGGCAGAGTGACCCCGGGTGAAAAAGCAGCCCGCGCTCTGGGAGTAGTCCTCCCGCATCAGAACGGTGGATTCAACATGCATTCTGAGCACGGTGATCTTACGACTTGGAGACGTAAGCAACAAGACCAGGAGACATGAATGTGATCCTTGTGAACTAGTGGGTGAAAACAGGACTTCGGGAAAAACAGGTTAAGAAAACAGAACAAATCATTGCAATTTACAGCACTATCGGAAGAAAAAGAAAAACTTCAGTTTATCACAACTTAGGTAGACGGAGGAAAAAAGCATATCAACATGGAAGTTTACCCTGATTCCAAGAGAAGCTGAAGTTATGGATCTGAGGCACATGACTACTGCAGAAAGGAGAAAGTCTGCAGTCCAGCAAAACTGAACCAAAACCTCTCACAGATGACCCAAGGCCCGGACTAGCTCAGCTGGACCGCCATACTCCACTGTGTCCTCTAAATACCTCTTGCCTAGTCAGGATCCATGTTTGTTTTCTTGGTCAAGTATGGCACCCAAAATTTAATGGTTTTAATAAAATGAATGCTTAAGTACAAAAGGAGGGAAATCTATCACCTGCAAACCTACACAGAACATACACACACACGGCAGCGGGATGGGGGTCTGTCACCGCAGTGAAGACTGGTACGTCTGCATTCCGTATGCATGCCTGGGTTGCAGTTCTGGCTCGGCTTCCAACTTCCTGATAGTGTGCAACCTGGGAGGCGTCATGTGATGGTTCAAATACTTGGGTTCTTGTCACCCACATGGGAGCCTGGATTGTGTTTTGAGCCCCTGGCTTTGGACTGGCCCAGCTGTGGCTATACAAGCATCGGGGCAGTGAACCAGAAAATGGAAACATTTTTCTCTTTTTGCCTTTCAAATTGAAAAAAAAAAAAAAAAAAGTTGTTGCATTGGAACTCTATATATGATGAAAGGCATCACATAAAACTAGAAGTAGACAGTAGTAGAAAGCAAGGGCTTAAGGCACAATACTTAAGAAAACAAAATGTTCATGAAGGGCTAGAAACAAAGTTATTGAACCTTATCTTTCTGTTGGCAGATGCTTTGGGCATTTTTCCCCCTCTCCTCTGTCATTCAAGAAAGGTACCTAGGCGTAATAACTCATCTTCCTGTAATGACAATCACAAATGGTTTTTAAAGGTGTTAAGAATATTTGTTTTATTGCTTTAAGTAGCACTCTGACCTCAGAATCAGCCCTTAAAGCATCCTGGTCTGGCTGAAAAGCCCATGAGAGCGCTTCAGGGCATGGAAAGCCAAGACACTGTGGCAAAAAATGTCCTACATGAAGGATCTCTGAGTTAGATCCCAGTGGAAAGAAGTGGCCATCAAAGAAGGAGGTACTTTTAAGGCTTCCATAGCCTTGGCAGCTCACGTCAAGAGCCTGGGGTTATCACTGATGTCATACATGTAGGACCTCTGTCCTTAATGAGTTGTATTATGAGAGTTAATTGTAAAATCTGTTCTCTCTGTGTGTGCAAACTGTTGAAATCTTTGTACACAGAAGACCAACTCTGTACCAAGTAAAGTTAATTGAAAATGAATCTTGGCCGGCGCCGCGGCTCAATAGGCTAATCCTCCACCTAGCGGCACTGGCACACTGGGTTCTAGTCCTGGTCAGGGCGCCGGATTCTGTCCCGGTTGCCCCTCTTCCAGGCCAGCTCTCTGCTGTGGCCCGGGAAGGCAGTGGAGGATGGCCCAAGTGCTAGGGCCCTGCACCCCATGGGAGACCAGGAAAAGCACCTGGCTCTTGCCTTTGGATCAGTGCAGTGCTGAAAAGAAAAAAAAGAAAATGAATCTTAATGGAGAATGGTTCTGGGAAGGGGAGAGGGAAGAGAAGGGGTGGGAGCATGGGTGGCAGGGCAGGTATGGTGGCAAGAATCAGTATATTCCTAAAGTTGTACTTATGAAATTTGTATTCATTAAATAAAAGGTTCAAGGCCAGTGCTGTGGCATAGCAGGTGAAGCCGCCAGCTGCAGTGCCAGCATCCCATACGGGCACTAGTTTGAGTCCCGGCTGTTCCACTTCCAATCTGGCTCTCTGCTATGGCCTGAGAAGGCAGCAGAGACTGGCCCAAGTCCTTGGGCCCCTGCACCCACATGGGAGACCTGGAGGAGGCTCCTGGCTCCGGATTGGTGCAGCTCTGGCTGTTGCAGCCAATTGAGGAGTGCACCAGTGGATGGAAGACCAATCTGTGTAACTTGGACTTTCAAATAAATCTTTAAAAAATAGTTTCTTTGGCAGGGAGGGGGTGGCAGAGAATATCTGTTTTACATCCAGAAATAGGACTCATTCCCTAGCAAACATTCACATATGCTTCTCCAGCACAAAGCACAATACACGAGTTTCTGAACACCTGGATTCCAGCATCAAAGAGGAAGGTTGCCCCCACTAACCCTCAGGGGGAGCTGAGCCCAAATAAGAGGTAGATACTGTTGTGTTATTTCAAAAATATCTAACAACTCAAAGATATTTTTAGGTTCAGTTTGGATTCTCTAAGTTTAATAAATATATGTCAAACAAAACGAAGGACAAGAATGCCAACTTCAAGAGTGGCAGCCCTAAAAAATTAAAATTGTAAATATCTGAGCAACTACAAATTATGACTATAGCATAAAAGAACTCCGTAATCTCCGTAAGCACACAAAGCCTCTACTCTCACAGTTCTACAAAAACACTATCAGACAAAGGAACAATTTGATTTAGTAAAAAAATACATTTTAAGAAATTTCCCAGAGACAGATTAGCAACAGAATTTCTGCAGTCTTCAGAGTAGCGCTCCTATTTCTCTGCTTACCAGAAATTCAACCACGTGTCCTGCCTCCCCACTGGAATCGTCATCCTCAGCAACATTACTTACAAGAATTTGAAAAATAAAATGCCATTCCTATCACACCAGAACCCTGTTGGAAGAATATTCTCCCACTTGGCACTCTTTCTGCCTTAAAAGCATCTTACATATTGTATATGTCAGCAATTCCATTCCTATGTATATACCTAGCGAACTGGAAACATACAGCCATAGAAAAACTTGTATACAATATAAGACTATTCATAATAATAACTTCAAAGCAAAAGTAACCCAAATCCTCATCACTGATGAACAGGTAAACAAAATTTACAATATCAAACAATTCAGTCCTAAAAGAGATAAAATTCTGACCAATACCCCAAGGATAAAGCTTAGAAACACACTAAGTGAAAGCAGCCAGACACGAAAGCCTGCATTTTATGGTTCTGTTGATATGAACTGTCCAGAGTAGGTAAAGTCACAGAATCAAAGTAGATTAGGGGCTGCTCAGGCCTGGAGGAAGGGAACCATGGATAGTGACTGCCGACAGATACAAGGCTTCTTTCTGGGGTTATGAAATTTTTCTAAAATTAGACAGTGGTTACAAAACTCTAAATACACAGAAAACCACTATATTGAATACTTTTAAAAAGTAAATTTTATAGTACGTGAATTCTCTCTCAATGAACATGTTTAAAAAGTGCTCTATAGTGTAAATATATGTATACAAATATGTGTACACACAATACACTTTAAGTCCATTTAAAAATAGAAATCTTATCTACTTAAATTAATGTTAATTGTTTTAGGATTCTAAAATAACACATTTGAAGGCATAATGGAATAGCACATAATCTAGTTTGCTAATCACTGATGCATACATATTTACAGACAACCTTCCACTGAACTATCAATGTTGTAAAGTCCTAGAATCAGCAGCAATTGGTAAACTGAAATAGCTTAGCTTTAATTTCAATTTTATGTTTGTATGGAATCAAGAAACTCTACAAGTTAAATGGCATACCTCTGAGTATTTAGTAGCAGTAGCTACATCTTTTATAGCCTCATAATCTTTGTAGCATAGAGCATAGTTCCTCTTCATATCATGAACCAAATATTAAAGGAGTGAAATAACTTTTTAATACCATACCTATAATACAGGACCATAATAACTTTGCTCTAGGTCCTATCCATTTAGAGCAGGTCAACAATTTTTTGTATAACAGGTCAAATTATAAATATTTTAAGCTTTATGGATCAGACTATTTCTGATACAACCTCTCAGCTCTATCCCTGTAACATGAAGGCAGATACAGAGAACACCTAAATACATGAACAATATATAAATGAATGATACCCTGCTTTAAGCCACTGCCATCCAACAAATTTTCTATAGTGATACAACCATTCTATTATCTGGCTGAGCATCTGAAATGTGGCTATAAGGAACCAAAGTTTTAAATTACTTTAACTGTAAACAGCTATATGTTATTAGTGGCTATTACACTGACCAGCAATACATTAGGCTACTAACTAGCCAGTTTTACTTCTATTCAAATAACTTAAAACTAAAAATGAACTCTGACTACAACACAAGATGAACTGGGAAGAGAAAAAATGTAAAATTTCTAGTAAGTCATAGATCATACCTGTCAATATTCAAAGTTCTAAACAGATTATCTCAGCTCTAATGTGAGGATACGTATAGAGTTCCATGTATCTGGACTTAGCCATACTTTGTCTGGTATACACTTGCTGGATTCCAGCTCTGAGGTCGTCCCAGATCTGGTCAAGGCCAATCTGCTTCAGTCCATGGGGATTCTGACTCCTGTTGGATGACATTGTGAGCAATATTCTGAAGTCGTCCAGTGCAGCAATCCTTAGTCAAGGTACAACTAATTCTCCATTAGTTGAAAATATACAGTATCATTCCAAGTTTATTCACAGCAGCTCAGAAAGGATGTCCTTTAAATGTAGAAAATGAAATCTCATTGCAGGAAAACCTGAAGAAGAAATAAAGGGAATTAATGATTTCTAACATCCTGGGGTGACACACACTGACAGAATATTCAATCTGTAAGGTATTAACAGGTGCCACTCTATCCAGAGATTCTTTTAATATACGGAAACACACATTATGCAGACTGTGTATAGAAATATGCTTGCTTAGGTAGCCCATTCAAAATCATTTTTAACTATTAGCATTAATGAGAAATGCTGAGTCAAACTCAGCACAAATACAATTTGACTCTGTTGCCTTTTTACTTCATAAAATTACGAAGACAGGTACCACGTGACCTTTGTAACAATTAGAAAACTCCAAGGAAAAAAATGACATGCCCAGGAAACTGCCAGAAGAGAGAGAAAACCACTAATAGGAAAATTCATTCAATCTCATCAGTTTTCTGTGAATTTTAGTAATTTTTCATATAGCACTGAGCAAGAATGCAAATATTGGTGAGGCTGAGGATGAACGGAAATGAGTGCTCCCATTTAGAAGGGAATTCAGCAAGAATTACCACAATTTAAAATGTATCCTGGGGCCGGTGCTGTGGCATAGTGGGCAAAGCTGCGGCCTGCCATGCTGGCATCCCATACAGGCGCCGGTTCAACTCCCGGCTGCTCCACTTCCAATCCAGCTCTCTTCTATGGCCTGGGAAAGCAGTGGAAAATGGCCCGAGGCCTTGGGCCCCTGCACCATGTGGGAGATCTGGAGGAGGTTCCTGGCTCCTGGCTTCGGATCAGTGCAGCTCCGGCCGTTGCAGCCAATTGGGGAGAGAACCAGCGGATGGAAGACCTCCCTCTCTCTGCCTCTCCTTCTCTGTGTGTAACTTTCAAATAAATAAGGCCGGCGCTGTGGCTCAATAGGCTAATCCTTCGTTTGCGGCACCGGCACACCAGATTCTAGTCCCAGTCAGGGCACTGGATTCTGTCCTGGTCGCTCCTCTTCCAGTCCAGCTCTCTGCTGTGGCCCGGAAGTGCAGTGGAGGATGGCCCAAGTCCTTGGGCCCTGCACCCCATGGGAGACCAGGAGAAGCACCTGGCTCCTGGCTTCGGATCAGCACGGTATGCCGGCCACAGCGGCCATTAGGGGGTGAACCAACAGAAAAAGGAAGACCTTCCTTTCTGTCTCTCTCACTGTCCACTCTGCCTGTCCAAATAAATAAATAAATAAAAATAAAATAAAATGCATCTTGAATTCAGAGACCTGGATTTGAAGCTCAGCACCGCACTTAGGAAGTAGCTAAGTGGTACTGGGTAACCTACTTAGCTTCTCTAAGCCTCCATTTTCTACTCTGCAAAATGGGGACAGAACTCTTTCCTCAAATGGTTGTTATAAAGTTTAAGATAATGCATGTAAAATATTTACCGCAGTGCACACTTAAATAGTAATGGCTATTATTTGAAGTACACGAAGCTACTACAACAATCTATATTGCTTTAGGATCCTTGTCCCACAAATAAAGGACCTTAGGGATTCAATTAGTGCTTCTCATTGCACAATGTCACACACGCCCTGTAAGGGTTGTCTACGGGCACCACTTCAATATGTGGAGGACTTAAAGAGTTACTTGTATTTTAGTGCAAATCAACAAACAATGAACTAATTGGCTTCATAAAAAATGACTCAATAATGAGTTATTGGAGAAATCTGCAGTGGAAGGATGTTGTCCATCAGCGTGGAAGATGCTAAGCATGGACACAACACATGACCCCCACAGCCGAGAGCTGGAGTGCGAGGCAAGAGCACACCGCAGCCGCCTGTGCACAGGTGACACGGCTGGAGGACAGCCCGGCAGAGCACACTGTCTGAGTCTGGCCTGGAGCCCAAAGGGGGATGAGGTACTGCCTAACCTAGCAAAAAATAAAAGGGAAAAAAGGGCACTTTTCTCTCTCCCTACGCAGCAGCACTCAGCAAACGGCTGGGAGGGGGCGCCATTTTGACACGAGTACTGGCTGTGGCAATCCTTCACACAGGGATCCAGGGATTTCACCAGAGGGAAAATCAGTGTTTTCCCCACTGACTGAGTCTGGCTGGAAGGACTGACAGGGAGCTGGGCACCCATGGAGAACTGCAACACGCCCCCAGCCTCTGGAAACATCACAGGCTCTGGGACTCAAACCATCAAGGCAGAGCACCCAAAGCCGCTGGCTCTGGGAACATCTCTACCCCTCTCTGCATGGGATCAGCGAGGGGCAGAGCAGATCCTCTGCACTCCATGACTGTGGGAGCCTTGTGTGCTGAGACTGTGGGAACTCTGTCAATACATGACAGGGCTCAGGGTGGAGCTGAGTCTCAGGGCAAACACTGTAGCAGGATCTGGGCTCACAAGAGATCCTTAGTGCAACTGCACAGATCCTTAGTGCAATTCACATGACAGTGCAGGCGAGTGTTGCACCCACTGTGGGTTAACCCTAAGCACTGATAACCTTGGAAGAGAGGAGGCAAGGGTGTGATTACACCAACAGAGGTGATCCTAACCTCTGCTCTGCTGACAGAGGAAATCTACCACATCCAACATGAGCGTCAGCCTGGATACCGGCCCTACCATGGAGCACTGCCCATACCTAGCATGTGCCTCTGGGCATTCGCTGAAAGAGCAGACACTCCACTAAGCCACAGAGGATTAAGTCAAAGATAAAAACCACCAAGAGAGAAAATCAACAAGCTTTTCCACAAATGCTTAAAAATAAATGCAGAAATTCAAGAAACAAGAATAAGGAAGACAGCATGACTACCCCAAAGGAACACAACACTTCAGTATTAGAAAGTGAAGACAGAGGTTGATGAAATGCCTGAATGGGAATCCAAAAGATCAATCACAGGATTACTCAGAAGCAGTGAGAAGCAGATTCATGAGTAAAAGAAATCTACACGACATGGAAGAAAAATTTTCCCATGAGATTGAGATTTTGAAGAGAAATCAAACTGAAATACAGAAATAAAGAATTCAATGTCAAATAAAAAAATACACTGGAAAACCTTAACAACATACTTGGTGAGGCAGAAGAAAGGATATCAAAGCTAGAAGACAAACCTTAGGAAATTTCTCTGACCAAACAACAACAAAAAAAAAAAAAACAAAAAATGAAGAAGAAATTAGAAAAATTCAAAACAGTGTTGGAGATTTATGGAATACAATCAAATGACCCAAAATGTGGGTCTTAGGAGTTCCTGAAGGCATGGAAAGCTAATGGATTAGGCCGGCGCCGTGGCTCAACAGGCTAATCCTCCACCTAGCGGCGCCAGCACACCAGGTTCTAGTCCTGGTCGGGGTGCCGGATTCTGTCCCGGTTGCCCCTCTTCCAGGCCAGCTCTCTGCTGTGGCCCAGGAGGGCAGTGGAGGATGGCCCAAGTGCTTGGGCCCTGCACCCCATGGGAGACCAGGAGAAGCACCTGGCTCCTTGCCTTTGATTCAGTGTGAGTACACCGGCTGCAGCGTGCTAGCCCACGGCGCCTTTGGAGGGGTGAACCAACGGCAAAAAGGAAGACCTATCTCTCTGTCTCTCTCTCTCTCACTGTCCACTCTGCCTGTCAAAAAAAAAAAAAAAAAAAAAAAAAAGAGAGAGAGAATGGACTAGAAGGCCTATTTAATGAAATAATTACAGAAAACTTCCCCAATTTGGAAAAAGAAAGGGGCATCCAACTACAGGAAGCAAACAGAGCTCCTTATAGTCATGAACAGAAAAGATCTTCACTATGACATATTGTGGTCAAACTTTTAGCAGTAAAACATAAGATTCTAAAATGTGCAGAGAAATGCCAGATTACTTTCAGAATATCTCCAATTAGACTCACAGCCGACTTACCAGAAATTCTACCGGCAAGGAGAGAATGGAGAGACATGTTCACAGTCTGGAGAAAAAAACCTATCAACCCAGAATTTTGTACCCTGCAAAACTCTCATTTATGAAGGTGAAATTAAAACCTTCCACAACAAACAGATCAAAAGAATTTGTCACCATTTGTACAGCCTTACAAAAGACGCTTAAGGATGTGCTACTCACAGTAACACAGAAAGACAGTCATATTATGAAAGAATGTAAAGGCAGGAAATCTAGTAAAAATACAAAGGAAATCCAAAGCAACCAATGGGAATATTTATGGAAAAATACTAGGGCTATGTCATTACTTATCAGTAGTCACATTGAATGTAAATGGCCTCAACTTTCCGGTTAAAAATACAGACTGGCTGAATGGATTAAAAATAAGATCCATCTGTTTCTTGCCTACAAGAAACACACCTCAAAGATGCAATCAGACGGAAAGTGAGAGGATGGAAAAAGATATTCCATGCTAATGGAAGGCAAAAAGGAGCAGGTGTAATCATCTTAGTATCCGATAAAATGACTTTACCACAAAAACTGTTAAGACATTGAAGAACACTATGCAATGATTAAGAGATCAATTCAACAGGAAGATGTGACTATGATAAATAATGTATATGCACTCAATGCCACAGTGCCTGGCTATCTAAAACAAATGTTAATGGATCTAAAGGGAGATACAAACTCCAATACAATAGTAATGGGGGACTTCAGTATCCCACTTTCATCAATGGACAGATCTACTAGACAGAAAATCAACACAAAAACAACAGAACTAATCTACACTATTGACCAAATGGACCTGATGTCTTCAGAACTTTTCACCCCATAGTTGCAGAATATACATTCCTCTCACCAGTGCATGGAACTGTCTCTAGGATAGATCATATGCTAGGCCATAAAGCAAGTCTCAACAAATTCAGAAAATTCAAAATCATACCATGAATCTTTTCTGATCACAATGGAATGAAGCTGGAAACCAACAATTCAGGAATCTCTAGAACATGTGCAAACTTATGGAGACTGAGCAACATACTCCTGAATGAACAATGGGTCACAGAAGAAATCAAAAGATTTCTGTAAACGAATGAAGACAATACATCATATCAAAACTTATGGGATATAGCAAAAGCAGTGTTAGGAGGGAATTTTATAGCAATTGGTGCCTACATCA